GTGTGTGGAAGATAATTGCAAAAGCTGATGTGGCACAATTGAAAGTGTAAATGGATTGCAGCGATGTGGATGGTCTTATGATTTGATGCTTTTTCCGAAATTGACTCCTAAACTTCATTATTATAAAAGAGACTAGTTGCATGCTGTTTTGTAATGAGTTGGTCACTCATTCTAACGAACATCTTTAATTAACACTAAATTTTATTATATTTTAAATATTATAATTTAAATTTAATTTTAATATATCATATATTCACTTTCAAAACACACACACACACACATATATATATATATATATATATATATATATAAGCAATCAAATATAAACCGTCCAAATTTGGACAAACCTTACAAACTAATTACAACAAATCATATAAATCTATTTGTTTTACATTTTTTTTAATTTATAAGGGTATTATGGTCATTTGAACAATAGTTATGTTTGGTAATTATTTAATATTAATAGATAAATTTGGTAACAACATAATATTTATATAAATATTAATGATATATTGATTAGCACAATATTAACAAATATTTAATTGAGGTATCCACTTAAATTTTTTGAAAAAAATCGCCACATTTTAAAAAATGTAGGATAATTTTGTTTAAAAAAATCATCACTAATTTCCAATGAAACAGAGTAATTTCTAATGAAACATGCTCAAATTGTTTACTGAAACATGATCATATATGATTGTATTAGGTTCATATGTATAACAGATGTAATGAAACAAATTTATATTCATAGGTATGTATAACAGTTTGTAATGAAACATGTTCATATGTATAATAGCTGTAATGAAACAGGTTCATAGGTCGTATATGATTGCATCAGGTTCATATGTATAACAGCTGTAATGAAACATATTCATAGAACATGCTTTTTCCCGTTTTGCCCTTCCTTGTCTCCAATATGAATTTTTTATTTTTACTTTACTTATTTAGTTTGTTTAAGTCTTGGCCTTTCATAAAAAAAAATGGATGGATGTAATTAGTTTGTAAGGTTTGTATGAAACGGATGGTTTGTAAAGTAAACCTCTTTTTTTTCTCTCTATATATATGACATACGCACACATGTGCGCACAGGTACACATATATACAACATCAATCACTTGTTAACCCCCTAAATAGTGTTAGGGGCCGTGTACTAAACACTTACTTGGTAAGTACTTACCGGATAAATTTCTTCATTGGATGAACATGAGAAGGGTCAAGAATCTTACCGGATAAGAGCGATGAGAATAATAGAGAGTCTTACCCAGTAAGGATGACGACTCTTACCCTGATAAATGCTTACCCACTAAATTGTTACATTCGATATGTTTTGATATACTAAAATCCTAAGCATCAAAATATAATCATAGTGTTGACTCCTATCCGTAAGCGCTTACCGGGTAAGCAATTGGGTAAACGGCCGGCCCCTTAGTCTTGCAAACCCATTTTAACCAATCAAATTCCACCATTCCTTGTTATTACCTTAATTAAACGCTTGATTTTAGGATTAAGGATTGTTTAGTAATTTTTTCTTTCTTTTATTATTATTTTTTATTCGGTTACTTGATCATATTCCTTTTTAAGGAGGTTAATTAGGAAAGCTATTGGTTTTCAGTTTTCTAAATTATTGAGGGGATATTCTAGTTTTTCACAAATTGTGGTATCATGTTCATCCGTATCGGTTCCTGAGGTTGTCGAATCCCATGATTTTAATCTGAATTTTTAACCTTTGTTCATCCATTTTAGCAACCGTTCATAGTGAAATATAATCTTCGTCCATTTTAGCAACCATTCACCAATGAATCTATATTATATTATAAAGTATTTGACAAAAACTTTTAAAAACTGTTTTTTATGTATGAAATATTGTTTATTGATGTATATTACTTAAAATTCAAAATTACAAGTAAATTATACATAAATACAACTTATTAAAGCTCTATGTTTGAATTCGTGTAATTAACTGCGGATAAACATAATCAAATAGAGGATAAACATTTCATTTAAATATAAAAATTTAAACTATAATTAGGATAATCATTGAGTATTAACAGAATCATTACCTTTATAAAAATTATATTGTTAAGCCAAAAATAAATTATTTCACTATTAGACCTAAATTAAATTATAATAAACAATTGAAATAAAGAAATTGTAAAAAAAAAAAAGAACTTTTAAATAGTTAATTCGATATTAATATCGATATATTTTTTTTTCGAATTTTTATGATATCTTCAAATATATTTTTATTCAAAAGTAAAAACATTCTCTTTATCAAAACCACATAAACCATATTATATCAACATAGACAAAAAATAAAATGAAACACTAAAATGAAGATATATATCTCACTGCATTGTGCGAGTCCCCCTCTAATACTAAAAAATAGAATTTTATGAGGGTTAAAAGTAATTAAGTTATCTGGAAGGGCTAAATCAAGAATCATACTTTCCTTAAATCGAGGCAAGTTTGATAAATGCAATGTTTTTTTTAAGGGTGTCCGGGCCAAAGCCCGACTAATCCCCGGCAAATTTGGAGGCTAAACATGGCCCCACTTAAATGTCGTCAACACTCCTCTCTCAGGGCTCGAACTCGGTTTCATGACTATGCCATGCCCAAGCCTTTACCACTAGGCTGAAAGGTCTTTGACCATAAATGCAATGTTGTTGTAATAAGTTGCTATAATAACGTTGGTCAAACTAATAAATTTTATTAACTAAGTTGACAACTTAACTAAACTTAAATAGTAATCATTTCATATGGCAATTTAAAAAAAGCATATAGCGTTTTCATAAAACATGTGGTATTGAGACATTTTCAAAAGCGTCATATAAACTTGACTAGTAAGATAACTTGTATGTTCTATCCAATTGGGTTTTCCAACTTCGAAAATATAAGTCACCTGCAAAAAATTATTCAAACATCAGTGTATTACAATTGTTGTTCATATAAATTAAAAAGCTCATTAGAAACTTTCTTACTCGTGATAGTTGAGTGTTTTCGTTCACAAAGACTTTTCACCTTGACATTAAGAAGAAGTGTGTCACTTTTTTGGAATATGCACAATTTATTTCCACATAGCATATGCAACATTTATTGCGATACATAATAAGGAGCAACACATGTAACAACTGGATAAATTTGAGCAACAAAGTAAACGTAACACAAGATACTTTATAACAAACTAAAACATGTAACAAACTCCCTAAAGTTTSTGTAAAATCAAGTGAGCGCCAAATTGAGGTTTTAAAGTAATTATAGCGTAYGGAGCATGTGAATACGACGGAGATAGATCAAAAGAGAAGCGTTGTAGAATCATTGTAAGCGCCATTTTTGCTTCTAACATAGCAAAATTYTGTCCGACGCATATACGTGGGCCACCTCCAAATGGGACGTATGACGCTTGCCCCTTGGTCGCCTTTAACACACCTTYGGAAAATCTTTCRGGCTTGAACTCRTTCACATCTTCACCCCATAAATCTTGGTCGTGGTGTAAAAGCAATGAGTTTAGTTGGATGAGGGTTCCCGCCGGCAAGATTAAATTTTTTAATTTTGTTTCTTCATGTACAAATCGTCTTAGTAGTACTGCTGGCRGATATAGTCTAAGAACCTCATTGAAGATCATGTTAACCTGCAAATGAATAATTAAGACACAAAATAAATATGGATTTTGACATGCTCGATAAGAAGATAGCATTGGTAAACCTCTAAGTATTAAAAAACTTACAACTTTTAGGTGATTCAACCCATCAATATCTGGTCTTTTCTCTCCAATGACTTGCAAAACTTCCTCTCTAGCATGTGTCTGCCACTCCTTGTATTGACCTAGTAAAATCATAGTCCAAACAAGCATATTTACGGTGGTCTCCTGGCCTGCAAAGTAGAAAAGTTTGCATTCTTGAATGATTTCCTGAATGCTTAAGCCAAAATGGCTATTTCCTTSTTGTTTAATTTCTGCGTAATTGGAATCCAAAAGAATGCCCAGGAGGTCATCATTGATACTTTYCCCGGCCTTCATAGCAACAACTCGTTTATCGATTATACTCTTTATCATAGCCTTCACTTCCTGGTCAATCTGTTTCATTCTATTGTTGCTTTTTGTYGGCAAAAATCTGTTAAATCATATTCTATTAGCTTAAAATACCCAAAAATAATGATACATTGGAGTTAAAATTTTACGCTTTGCATTTCATTGTTCTTTTTTTTTTTGAATTTAAACATATTATTTAGAAAGAAATTCACCTTGATCCTGGAATGTAAATTGACATTTCAGCTATGATAATCATCTGCTTTAGTTCTCTTTGAAGCTCAAATATCTTTCTCCCTTCCTCAAAACTACTACCGAAAGCTGTACGTGAAATCACATCAGCTGTAAATGTTTGTAGATGAGGCCATACATTCACTTCACGCGAGCTTTCTTTTGTTACCATTTCTTCCCATTTTTGAATCATCTCGCTGCAACTCACATAAAAYGCAGGTACCATATGCTGACAAGGAAAATACARTTAAAYGTATCCAAACGATGTTTTTAGACRAATAAAGTTACATGAAATAAAGAGCAAAAAGGTAASAAAACCTTGAGCTTTTCAACATTGAAAGCGGGATTGATGATTTTTCTATGTTTAACCCATTGATCTTCCTCAACGTCGATTAAGCCYGTTGTTAGCAACTTTATTGATGGGTTTCCTCCCCTTGGCTTTTGAAATTGATGATAATTAGAGAAGACCTCTCGTATCATGGTGGGTTYAGAAATGTGCACCATAGGCCTTGTCCCCATCCATGTAAAACAAGTCTTACCTGTATTAAGACTAGGAATSAATGAGCTAAATGTGGCCAGTGATCAGGATTACCGTCACCAACGGATTTTCAATCACCAATGGATTTTGGTTAGTAATCCGTTGGTGATGGTCAATCCGTCGGTGATCTGCTGTAAATYCGTCAGAAATTAYRGGTGRAAAAACTCGTCGGTAAATCCTCTTTGTTTTGTAGTGATATTTATGCCTCTTAAGTAATTAAGAGTATAATAGGAAATTTAGTGAATTATAACTCTATTTTTGAAAAATGACATTTATTTTAAGACAAACGTAAATAGAAATATGCACATTTATTTTCGTCAAAACAAATATTTTAATACCATAGTTGATGCTTAAATCTTCAAAATAGAAAAGCCTTTGGATTATAATTTTTATTTTTGTAAATTTTGATTCCTTCATCTTTGCTTTGGATAAATTATAAATATACACTACAACATATTCAGTTTCATATAACGTTAAATATGTCTGTATAAATTGTTTTATAAGATTTAATTTTACAGAACGAAAGAATTATGCATCTTTTGTAAAATTCTTACAGTAATTTGACAGTGGGTGACCTAACAATTGACTTTTTTATACGACACCTTGTATAGGTATCGGGAACATATATTTTTATAAGATATTTTTTTCAAATAATTGCATAAAAATTTCAATATGGCGTTTTATTTTAAAAAATACACTAAAAAACTTATTATAATGCCCAATAACAATTTATCAATTTGTTCTAATAGTTTTACGTATGACGCACACTTGTTTGACTCTATAAATCCAAGTCATGTAAAAGAGTTTATTAAAACATTTAAACATATTTAACATATGATGTAGTCCTTTGGTTGGAGATGCTCTAAACCGGAAACGACTGTCAAACCAATGTACAAAACATTTTCCACTTTTGGGTCACATATGTATAGAAATCGAGAACCTCTGTTTCACATATACATACCGTGAGTAATGATGGATTTATGGAAGAAGGTCAATACACGAGGTGCGATATCATGATTTAGACTCATAGGTTTAGATTTGGCTTCTTTTGTCATCTTCTCCAACTGTTTCAAATCTCCGACCATAAATCGGTAATGGGTTCCTTTCAATCCTTGATCTCTTAGAAGCTTCTCCATCTTTTTCGGTTTAAACCACAAGAAATTCAAAACCGTCCATACATATAACGTCAAGATCGCTGCTACTCCAATAACACAAATAATTGCCGTTTCCTCCATGGCTCTAGAAAAAAATTGTGAGCTAATTTTGTGAACTTGTGATGATGATCAGAGAATGAGAGTACTTATTGATCGATAATTTTTCTTTTATAACCCTAACATTTGAGTGGTTAATGGTTATGCACCCTGTGTTTTTTTATTGTATTCATGGCAAGTCCTACACATTAATAAGGAGGAGAAATTTAGGTATCTGTCTTTGTTTTGAAGAACATGAATGCTATAAGGGTGGAATTATTAGGAGTTTGAGCGGGATTTTGAGCTTCTGTTTATTTGAGTATTGCAGGAGAAAGAAATTTAGTTGTCTGAAAGACAAAATATATTTCTTTTAAATATTTAAGGTCAATTCCATTAAAAAAATGTATTTTATATCTCAAAGCAATACAATTGACTTTTTCCCCGGTCACCGTGTTGACTTTCCCCTAATTCAAACCATGGTTTTTCGGACTTTTGATTCACCTTAAAGATGCATACGCTTAAACAAATTTAGATCCGTCACTGAGTATTGTTACTAAGATTATTAAACGAGAAATGCTGAAACTTGATAATCTAAAATACATGTTTTAAAAGTTATTCTCTAAAAATTAAAAATAATATTATTAGTTATATTTTGGTACAATTTCTCATCAACAACAAACAAACTTAACATATWGTTTAATAAAATTTTGTACATAATAATTCCAAATATAAGAATAGAATTATAAATTAAGTTAATTTTGATTAATTTTGGTATATTTTGAATTTAAAAAATTCACACACACACACATATATATAAGTATATATTTAGAGAGAGAAATGTAGGTTCATACAAAAACGATATATATTTAAGAAAATAAGAGAATGGTCGAATTACGTACAAAATCACATTTGATTTTATATTAACGACCAAAAAAGTGTGCAGGCAACCTTATTGCCGTATAACAAGGTCGCATGAATCACATATGACTTTGTACGTGATGTTAATGTAAAATCACATCTAATTCGACCATTTCTTATTTTCTTAAATGAGCTATCATTATGGTATGAATCTGTCTCTCTCTCTCTCTCTCTCTCTCTCTATATATATATATATATATGCATATATTAGTTCTAAAAATAATTATTTAATTATCATGTCATATTTGAGCCGTGATTCTTGCCTTCCCTTATGAGAAAAAATAAATTATAATATCATGTTTGAAGTTTGAAAACACAAAACCTAACTTAAATTTGCGTATAGATGTCTTTTTAACCTGATGTAGTGTCTTGTCAAATTAATGGTAGAATAGACATTGGTTAGGGTTTGAGGAGACATGCCGTAAACGTTTTTGGAAAGATAGATTTGATTGATTTCGAAATATGTTTGAGCAATTTTTCTCTGTAATTACTTATTTATAAAGGAAAAAGAAAACAAATATCCTTTTTTTTTAATTGAAAATATCCAAGAATTTAGAAAATGCATCTTTCCATGTTTGTTTTTTTAACAAAAAATTAAAAAAAAGTCAAATAAATGAAAACAACTATTATTTTTAAAATTGAAATGTGAACATAAATTTAAAGTTCATATCTTATACATTTGTAGTGTATTGTGGCATCTTATATCTAATCTTTCACAATATTATTTGTCATTTTTGGATATGATTAAAGGTTAAGATTGGTTCACATCTTATATATAGGTTGATTCTTTTGGTTCACATATTATATATAGGTTGATTCTTTTGTTAATCCAACAATTGGTGTTAATATGTGGAGCAATCTTAACCTTTAATCCTTGAAATCTATGGATTAAATCATGACAGTTGTAATAAATGAAAATTTGAACAAAAATAAACAATTGATAAACATTCTATAATAGGGGTTTATGGAAAAGATCATAACATATGAACACCTACGAAGAATCTTATTGAACACATATGAACATCATATTGTTATAAACACAAACTTATTAACACCTTGCATCAACACATATGAACACATTCTTATTAATACATTATGTTTATGATCATACATTATTATGAACACCCATGAAAACCATTAAATACCATAAAAATAACTTACACATGAAAAATTGTAATATCTCATTAGATACCATAAAAATAATTACACATAAAAATTATCTATTTGTCCTCCATCATTAAATCAAACATTTGAAGTAATCTCTACCAAACAATGAATCTTATTAATCCAATAAGTTCACTAAATTAACATCATTAATAAAAAATCATATATATATATATATATATATATATATATATATATATTCTTGATATTTGTCTCAGCCTCTCAGGGACCAATGTTAACAATTTCATATGTTAAAAAAGTTTACACAAATAAAATATTACATATATATTATCTTTATTTTTATTTTAGGTATTCTATTTTATTTTCAATTATATTTAAAACACTAAATTTTATCATAGTCTTGTTTTTCAGCCCATAAACTGTTCTTTTATCAATAATAATAATAATAATAATAATAATAATAATAATAATAATAATAATAATAATAATAATAATAATAATGTATAGTTAGCTATCTTTAGGAATTGATGTAGTGTTTTGTCAAATTGATGGGTAGAATAGATATAACCCAGGGTTAGAGGAGACAAGCCATAGCGACATTTTTTAATTTGATTGATTAAATCAATTTTGAAATATACATACATATATATATATATATATATATATATACATACATACATATGTATATATATATATATATATATATGTGGGTTATTATGTAACCTTTTACATTTGTACAACCAATGCAATTCAATCTCAACTGTCCATTTAATTTGATAAATATGTAATTTCATAAAAGTTTTGATTGTTTCCTAATATAAAGAATTGATCATAATTAATGAACCATAATCATCTTTTATAAATATTCAAATCATAATAAATAGACTCTCATCATTTTCATAAATATTTTAATTTAATTGGGTTGCATTGGTTGTACAAATATAATTGGTTGCATTTGAAACGTCCTAGATATATATATATATATATATATATACTACCTTATAAATCAGATTTACCAAAAGTCTTAAAAACAATTTTTAATGCACAAAAGTCTTAAAACAATTTTCATCATGGGTTATTAAAAGTTCTCTTATTCATCTCTCATTCAATTGCTCTAGAACTCTCAGTCTCGCTCTTGCTCTCAATCTCTTGATTCTTTGCTCTTGGTGTAAATCGAATACATTTGTGGAATCGTTTAAATATGTTGGATTTTAAATAATTTTAAATATTTAATTAATTATATATATAATTTATTTAATAAAATACAGCTAAATTAAAATGATAAATTTTAATTAATAAACATTAACTTATAAAACAAACTATAATAAAGTTATTCTTATATAATTTTTGAATAATAAATATTATTATATAATTCTTTTATGTATGTTTAAGTTTCGACTAGTCAAAATTATAATAAAATTATCCATATTTTAGTTTTTATTAATTTTCATTTTTTAATAAAATTAAATCAATTGTTTAATATAATTTTCAATTTGATAACATAAAATAATTAAATTAGAAACTTAATATAAATTATTATTTAATATATTAAATTATCCCCTTTCATCTCACTGACCAACCTTGACTAGTTCAGTTTTATTGGATTCTATACTATCAATACACTACTAAAAAATCGGGTTTTTCCGACGGCAAAATCCGTCGGAAATCCGTCGGAAAAACAACTTTCCGACGGATTTTGCCGTCGGAAAAACCCCCGCCGCTAAATGCCTTTTCCGACGGAATTTCCGACGGATTTGTATTTTATGATCCTTGATGACCTATTACATGTTTATATGTGAGTATGTAATGTATATATGTATGTAGTGTGTATTGAGCTCAATAAGACCACTAAGATCCTCAAAAGCTCAATAAGATTCATTAAAAAGCATTATAGTGGTCTTAYGATTCAGAGAGTACGTTTTTTCATAGGGTTGGAGACAGAGAGAGGGATGGAGAGGGGAGGAGAAAAGTTGCATGTGGGAAGTGGGAAGTGGGTTCGATAAGGATCGAGGGTGAGCGCCGTGGAACTCATTTCTTCTCTCAACACACACTAAACATTTGCAATCTTTGATTACGATACAYGATAATGTAAATAATACATATATAACAATACAAAAGACATAATTAAGTAACCCAAAATTATAAAACCATTTTTACTCTAAAATAAACCCAAACATGCAATTTTTTTGCCTAAMGTTTGTGTAGAATTAAGTGGGCGCCAAACTGAGGTTGTAGAGTAGCTACAGCATGTGGAGCATGYGAGTACGACGGAGATAACTCAAAAGAGAAACGCTGCAGAATCATTGCAAGTATCATTTTTGCTTCGAGTATAGTGAAATTCTGACCAATACATATGCGTGGCCCCCCACCAAATGGGAGAAATGAGGCTTGTCCTTTSGTTGCTTTTGACACACCTTCGGAAAATCTCTCGGGCTTGAACTCCTTCACATCTTCACCCCATATATCTTGGTCGTGGTGTAGAAACAATGTGTTTAGTTGGACCAATGTACCTGTCGGTAAGGTTATATTTCCTAATTTGGTTTCATCATGTATTAGCCGTCTTAGGAGTCCTGCCGGTGGATACAGTCKAAGAACCTCATTGAAAATCATGTTGATCTGCAAAAAAAATTATGGCAAAAAATAAATAGGACCGTTGTCATATTTGGCAAGCGGATAGTTTTGGTAATCTTCACGGAAATTAAAACTTACAATCTTTAAACGACTCAAACCATCTATATCCGGTATTTTTTCTCYGAAGACACATAAAACTTCTTCTCGAGCACGTGATTGCCAGTCTATGTGTTGACTTAGTAAAATCATAGTCCAAACAAGCATATTTGCCGTGGTCTCTTGTCCTGCAAAGTAAAAAAGTTTGCATTCTTCGATGACTTCCTCAATGCTTAATCCAAAGCCGTCATTCCCTTGTTGTTTAATCTCTTTGTAATTGGAATCTAAAAGGATGCCCAAAAGGTCATCATCAATGAGGGTTTCTCCGGCTTTCATTGCAACAACTCGTTTATCGATAATGTTGTTTATTGTAGCCTTCACTTCCTGGTCAATCTCTTTCATCCTCTTGTTATTTTTTGTCGGCAAAAATCTACTCAATCATATAATTAATTAGCATAATCTACAAAACGTTGTGATAGTGTGACTTCTATAATTATCAAATAAAGAGCCCTTTATAAGTTAAGAATGTTATGTTTTTGCATAATATTGTGAACTTTTTAAAAGAGAAGTGATTATAAAATAATCGTTTCGAATCAAACTCACCTTGATCCCGGAATGTAAATTGAATTTACAGCCTTGATAATGAGCTCTGCTTGTTCTCTTTGAAGCTCAAATATCTTTCTTCCTTCCTCAAAACTGCTACCGAATGCTGTACGTGAAATTACRTCACTAGAAAGCGTTTGAAGATGAGGCCAAACATCCACTTCAAGCAAGTTCTYTTTGTTCATCATTTCATCCCATTTGAGGATCATCTCGTTGCAACTCACATAAAACATGGGTACCATACGCTACAGAAAATATAAGTATATCCGGATAATGTTTTCATAAGGTTACTTTYTGTAACGAAAAGAGAAAAAGGAGGAGCAATTAAGAAACCTTGATCTTCTCCACATGGAATGCAGGATTGATGATTTTTCGATGTTTAATCCATTGATCAGCCTCGGCGTAGAGTAATCCAGTTTCTAGCAACTTTGTTAATGGATTCCCTTCCCTTGGCTTTTGAAATTGACAATAATTAGCCAAGACCTCTCGTATTATAGTCGGATCAGATGTGTGTACCAGAGGTTTTGTCCCCATCCATGTAAAACAATTCTTACCTATATATTTRTCGWTGAAACCAGAAAAGTTTAGATATTAATTTTCCAAAAAGCCAAAACATTATGGTACGAACAAAAAATGCCAAATATAATATACGATTTCAAAAGCATTATAAATAGTAGAGTTATTTTCGGTCAAAAATTTATTTTGTTTTCCTTTTCTTAAGATATATATATATATATATATATATATATATGTATGTATGTATATATGTATGTATGTATGTATGTGTATGTGTGTGTGTGTGTGTGTATGTGTGGATTTGGAAAATTCAAACAGATGTATTTACCATGAGTAGTGACAGACTTATGGAAGAAGGGGAAGACGCGATGAGCGATATCATGATCAGTKACACTCATGGATTTAGATTTGGCYTCAGTCGTCATTTGCACCATGTCTTTGAGATCTCCGAACACGAACCTATAAGGGGTCCCCATAAGGCCTTGGTCTCTTAAGAACTTTTCTATCTTCTTTGGTTCGAACCACAACCAATTTAAAACTCTCCATGCATATAACAGCGTTAATGTTGCTGCTATTCCTACAACACAAAAAACTGGAGTTACCTCCATCGTGCAGTGCTGGAAAGAAAAAAGGCCTGTGATCTATTAAATCCTGTGATCATAGTTGGTAGGAAAATAGGATATTTATTGATGGATAATTTTCACTTCACCACCTTATGGTTTGCGTAGTTGATAAAATGATTCATGTGTTTTTTTTATTGTTTTTTTAGCAATACATCATTATTGGAGAGCGTGAATAGTCATCACTTGCATTTAAAAATAAGTTATTGAGTTAAAAACATGTTATTGGTGTGTGTGTGTATATATATATATATATATATATATATATATATGACGAACCCTTGTTCCAGCAAATCAGTTACACAAGATATAAAATGTAATATCTAAACACATTAAAAAAAATACATTACAAATGATCATCATTATAATACTCAAGATACATACAATATGCACACTCTAATACCCATTGTATACACGTTGTGATACTCATTGTATGCACGTTGAAACTCACCGTGATATCCATATTGTTTACAACGTGTTCACAACACCAATAATGTGATACCTATTGTATACATGTTGATGCCCATTGTGATATCCATTGTTTACAATGTGTACGTAACATCAAATATTAATTTTGGTAATACAAAATGAGAATACGAAGAGAGAGAGAGAGAGAGAGAGAGAGAGAGAGTTGTTGAATATGGAGAGAGATATAGAGAGAGAGGAGGAGAGTTGTTAAATAATTTATTAAATACAAAATGAGATTATCAAGTTACTAGTTTTACCCTTTATTTTATTCTAAAAATAACATTAATTATCTTAAATGATTGATTCATAATGGATCTCACGGTTATCACAAATTACATACGGAACTCTCATATATGTGCAGGGCTCAAACGAATGATAATTAAAGGGTCTAAGTGAAAACAGTTGAGAGTTAAGGGTGTGGCATGTAAAAATTGTGTCCCAATAATTTCCAACTTTTTCCACAAAGACTAGGGTGCTATATGGCCCGCATTAAGACTTTTGCCAAACAAAAGAAAGGATCAATTTTCTCCAAAGCCAAAAGGGTTTTTCGCTGAAACAGTTTTTTACTGATCTAATATAAAGAAAAAATTATATTAAAATAGAACTAACTTTTATTTTATTTTTATTTTGGGGAATCAACTTTTAAAATATTCATTTAAGCGTCTGTATCAAACTTTTTATTTATTTAAGAGCCTAGTTAACCTGTTGAATAGGTAACATGTAATTTAATATGACTTGAAAGGAAATTATTTAAACAAATATTATGTGGTAATTATTTTGACAAATCATCATTATAATTAAAACAAATCAAAATGAAGTCCACTTCACGTCCCCTGTCTTGGTCGCAATCATGCCCCTCCCTCTTCCTTCAATCGTCGTCGTTCCATATATAGCCTCCTGCCACTGTAGCTTTCTGTCCTCTCCGACAGCCGCTGCCCCTCCCTCTCCCTTCAATCACCATCGTCCCATAGCCTCCTGCCGCTGTAGCTTTCTGCCCTCTCTGACAGCTGCTGCCCTCTCCGGCAGGCTGTCCTCTCCACATTTGATATTTAATATTTATTTTTTATTGCATCAATTAATTTTTTTAATTAAAAAAATGAGATTTGGAAACATCTTCAATTTGATAATTGAATTTTTTTATTTAAAAAACGAGATTTGCAAAGAAAAATATATTTTATTGCATTAATTTTTGAAAAAAACGAATTTTAGTAAATTTTATATAATTATTTTGCAATTTTAAAATATGATGTGGATTTAAAATAAAAAATTAATATGACGTGTAATATCTTAGTTGGCAAAAGATCTGGATTATGTGAGCATTAACAGGTCAACTAGACCCTTAAATAAACAAAAAGTTTGATAGAAATCCCTAAATGAAGATATTAAAAGTTCGTCCCCTAAAATAGGAATAAGATGAAAGTTGGTTCCGTTTTGATGTAATTTTCCCTAATATAAACAAAGCTTGGAAAGACGCTGTGACATCTGTATAAAGTAATAAATTAAAAAAAATTAAAATTTCATATCATATATTATATTAAATTAATTTAAATAAAAATCAGTCTTCTGATATTATTTGAAAGTAGAGAAAAACAAATCACTAATTCAATTAAATAATAAAAACCTAAAAAAAATTCAATGAAAGCTAAAACATATATAATTGAATCCCATAAACATTGAAGATCCAATTTTAAATCACATATGATTAGAACATATTCAGACAAACCTTGAATATGAATAGGGTTTATTAAATACAAAATGAGATTATCAAGTTACTAGTTTTACCCTTTACTTTATTCTAAAAATAATATTAATTATATTAAATGATTGGTTCACAATGGATCTCACGGTTATCACAAATTATATATCGAATTCTCATTTAATTAGGTCCCTGTATATATACAGGGCTCAAACGAATGATAATTATAGGGTCTAAGTGAAAACAGTTGAGAGTTGAGGGTGTGGCATGTAAAAATTGTGTCCCAATAATTTCCAACTTTTTCCACAAAGACTAGGGCGTTGTATGGCCCGCATTAAGACTTTTGTCAAATAAAAGAAGGATCAAATTTCTCCAAAGCCAGAAGGGTTTTTTGCTGAAATAGTTTTTTACTGATTTTTAATATAAAAGGAAAATTACATTAAGATGGAACTAACTTTCATCTTATTCTTATTTTGGAGAACTAACTTTTAAAATATTCATTTAAGCGTCTCTATCAAATTTTTTGTTTATTTAAGGGTCTAGTTGACCTGTTGAATATGTAACAGGTAATTTAATATGACTTGGAAGGAACTTATTTAAACAAATATTATGTGGTAATTATTTTGACAAATCAAAATGAAGTCCACTTCATGTCTCCTGTCTCGATCGCAATCCTGCCCCTCCTTCATCCTTCAATCGTCGTCATCCCATAGCCTCCTGCTGCTGTAGCTTTCTGTCCTCTCCGACAGTCGTTGCCCCTCCCTCTTCCTTCAATCACCGTCGTCTCATAGTCTCCTGTCGCTATAGCTTTATGCCTTCTCCGACAGCTGCTGCCCTCTCCGCATTTGATATTTAATATTTATTTTTTATTGCATCAATTAATTTTTCTATTAAAAAACGAGATTTGGAAACATCTTTAATTTGATATTTGAATTTTTTTTATTTAAAAAACGAGATTTGGAAAGAAATATAGATTTTATTGCCTTAATTTTTAATTAAAAAAACAAATTTTAGTTAATTTTATATAATTATTTTGCAATTTTAAAATATGACGTGGATTTAAAAAAAAAAAATTAATATGACGTGGAATATCTTAGTTGTCAAAAAATCTGATTATGTCAGTATTAACAGGTCAACCAGACCCTTAAATAAACAAAAAGTTTGATAGAGACTTCTAAATGAAGATTTTAAAAGTTGGTCTCCTAAAATAGGAATAAAGTGAAAGTTGGTTTCACTTTGATCCAATTTTTCCTAATATAAACAAGGCTTGGAAAGACGTTCTGACATCTGTATAAAGTAATAAATTTAAAAAAAAATAAAATTTCATATCATATATTATATTAAATTAATTTAAATAAAAATCAGTGTTCTGATATTATTTGAAAGTAGAGAACAATAAATCACTAATTCAGCTAAATAATAAAAACCTAAAAAAATTCAATAAAAGCTAAAACATGTATAATTAAATCTTGTAAACATTGAAGACCCAATTTTAAATCACATATATATGATTAGAACATATTCAGACAAACCTTGAATATGAATAGGGTTTTCTTTACCCAAGTTTCTATTGAGAATTCTTGTGAATGCTTAGTTTGGTTTTAAATTAATTAATTATACAAGACAAATTAATATTTATACCTTTTTAGTAATAATTAAAAACAGAAATTGCGAGTGTCGGTGGTAATAGAAGTCAGGAAATGAATAGGAGATATGGAAAATGCAAATGCGAAGTTTCCACCAACCAAAAGTTACTGATTTTTTACAGTAAAAAAAATTCGTAAACTTTTTTTGTTGTTTGTGTATAAATAAATAAACATTGGTCTTACAATTATCATAATAACAAAAAGTCATTTTTGTTTGAATTGTATTTTTTGTTGATATAAGAAGCTGGAATTTAAAATTTTCACCTCCAGAGAATAAATCATATATATTTTGAGATAAGTATGTAGAATTATTTGGGTTTTCATATGGAGTCGGTGCATATAATAATCGTTAAATGTCATTATTTCAATCTAGTCAAATTTACAAATGTGAATTTTCAACTTTGACTAAAAAATTGTCATTTGAATTTAAGTTCACAAACTAAACAATATAATAGTCTACCTGTATTTCTTACTTAGGGGTGTTTGGGATTGCTTATTTAAAACAACTTATGTTTTTTTTATAAAAGTGTTTATTAACTTATGTAATATTAAATCGGAGTTTTGTAATAAGTGTTTGGATTAACTTATAGCGGTACCAAAAAACAATAAGTTGATAAGTTGTTTTTTAGTGTTTGGCAAATTTTACTTATATATGTAAAATTACCAAAAAAGGACAGTCTTCCATATAATAATATTTTTGATTATTAACTTATTTGATTTTTTAACATGTAAAAATTTATTTTTCATCATTTATAATAATATTTTTGACAAAAATTTATAATAATTAACAAACATTATTAAAACAAGGTTAAAATGATAAACTGGTAATAAGCAATTTTTCATAAGTCAGGAAGGATTAACTTATCAAAAACTGCTTATTACCGATTTGACACCGGTATAAGCAGTTTTATTTTTCCTCATCCAAACACTAGCATCTAGCTTATCACCAATGCCAGATTGAAATAAGTCAAAAAACACCTAAAATAAGCAATCCCAAACACCTCCTTAAAGGTCTTTGTGATTTTAATGTCATTAAGAGTGTTGATGTGGTTGTGATTACATGGGGACTAGGTGGTAACTTAACTAAGAAGGTAAGAATTGAAATGCATACTCATAAATGTTGTCTCTAACATTTTAGATAACATAAATCAATTTTATTCCCTTTTTTTGTTTTTTTTTAGAATGAATCTTCAAAATCCATCCAAT